TTAATGTTTGGGCACAGACTTGACCGAAAGGGAAGTGTCTCTTTGTCTTCCGACACTTACCCTCACTGATACTTCTCTGGAAGGTCTTATTGTTGAGCAAGTCCTGCATGGTGTCATGGTGAATGAGTCTCATCCTCCTCCTCTCAGCTGCTAAACTGTGCTCCACCTGCTCTTGGTGTGTGCAGGGCACAACCTGCTTCAGCTGCGCCTACAATCACAGCCCAGAAAGATTACCTTATTGTTAATAACTGGTTATGTAGAGTGAAGGTGCATTCAAATGTTGTGCTGAATGCAATTGTAGCAGCCTAGTTTATTTGCAGTGTATAATATTCCACAGCCATAACAAATAAGGAAAACTAATCATTTTATGAAATATGAATCTCCCCATTAACTGATATGTAAGTGGGCCTAGCATTTTTATAAAGATTATTAGACACATTATTATTGCATTGTTTTCTCATACCTTGTTTGCATCTGTGCGTCTGGCGACGAATGTGGCAAATGCCTGACACACTCTCCAATGACGGCCACTGTACAGGTCCTCACAGATGACTTCTATCCCCACCTCACACACAAACACCAATACATACAGTCATTATTACGATTCTACTTCTACAATACTCAAACAGTATTAACAGTATTTTAGAACAAGATGCTAGGGGGTTCACAAAAAATTTGAGAGAATTGCTTTTGATTGATTTTTTTTCTTCCAGACTGTATTTTTAAGCCTGTCAAATATGATATATAAACTAAAGGCATGTGCTTGACAAATTATTTTAACACTGAATTCGTCATTATTACTGTTTAAAATTGGATTAAAATAACCAACAGTCCATTTACAATCTAATAATTTTTAGACTATTCCTTTGATAAGGCAGTTTTTAACAGTAAAGATAGTTTTTATATAGTTTTGTCAAAATATATCTAGTTGTATTTTTTTTATTATATATAATAAGTTTCTCCTCAACATTGTCCCTTTTAGCGTTCTTGCTCTATGGCAAAATTCTCTCCTAATCTTTGGAAAATATTACACATAACACATACACATTACACATAACTGTTTAAAAATTCTAGAAATAAATTTGAATAAAATTCAAAACGGTTCTCTTATCATCTACAGTACACTAATAGTAATACTTTAGTAATATAGTAATACTGGGAATAAAAAAAAGTTGCAGAAAAAAGTAGTGCCGTCAAATCGATTAATCGTGATTAATCAAATCTAAAATAAAAATTTGTATTTATATAATATAAAACAAAAGTTTGTTTTAGATTTGTTTAATCACAATTATATATGTGTATATATTTATACACATATATAATATGTGTATGTGTGTATATATATATATATATATATATATATATATATATAATGTATATACACATATATTATATAAACACAAACTTTTATTTTTTTTAATCGATTAATTGCTATTTGGCAACACAAATACAGAGTCATTATTTTCCAGATATTTTAAGGATCTGCTGAAATGAAAGTCCAGTTATTTTGCTTTGGAATAAATGCTGTCTTTATAATATCACTTCGTCTTTTTTTTTTTAGACAGTATATGTAAATGGCTGTGCCTTTTATATGTTATGATTATCACACTTGGCTTGAAAAGTCTAAAGTGTAACACAATAGTAAGAAAAACTCTTAGAAAAAAGGTCTTAAGAGTAACTTTTTCTAAAAAAAAACACAGACAACACAGCGTGATTTGATTAAAACATGTCTGTTACCTCCATGCTTGAGTTGAAGGCCCTGTTGACTTTGGCTTTAATGTTGACCACTTGTCCAACACTGAAAAATATACGTGAGTGATAATGACAGTGTCTCATTAGTGATATATTAAGGGTTGTTTTCCATTGGGCTTGTATTTCTGAGACTTTCCGCACTAATCAAAGTTTTGTGTGATTGGTGTTGTTTTATTAGCACAGTCTGACAGGCTGGCAGAGTAATTAACAATCTTCTGTCTAATAGCAGTTTAATAGCACAATAAACCAGACAGAACTCCCCAAGGCGAAATGACATGCTGGTTAGGATATTTTTCAAAAGACACTGAGATGTTAACTAAAACATAAGTGATGTCTTCTGTACCCGATGGTGTGCTCGAAGTAGATGTCATCAACAGAAGCTGTCACACAGAGGCATCCAGCGTGTCTCTCCGCTGGAATACAAGCAGATCTAAATAAGTCATGTTGACACTAATGAATCTCACTGCATTTTAACAGATTTACCTGTTCATTGACTGACAGGTGAAAAAATTAACCTAATAATGTATCCCATATTGAAGTCTTTCCAGTGACATGCACGTCTAGATTATTTGCTCTAGGTTTGTTTAGTCATTGCAAACATGTCCTCAATATTATGCTAACACTCATATCCTTATATAGAGAATTTCTGGAGCCACAATGCAGGTTGCAAACTCACCAGACAGACATGCTGTGCAGTCCATCCATTTGAGCAGCTGTCCGATGCTCAGCTCTCCACAGTGGTTGGCATGGCAGGGCAGCACTATCTGGCACATCTTCACCTCTGAAGGGTTGCGATGCTGCTGCCCTTTATCCTCCAGTTGAAGGTCATGTAGATCGTTAAGCTCGGACTTTGATGCCATGCTGAAAGTCCGGCAGCTGAGAAGAACAATAATAGTGTTCAAAGTTAATTTTAGAAACTGGAGTTTTGTAACAGAATAGCAATCCCATTAAGTATTTGGGCACTTACCCAAACCTGTGAAGGTCAATAACTAGAATAAATAAAGTGATCAAAGGATCTTCATTTTAATTTGATCGTATTTTTTATAACAAAAAAAAAGCTGAAGGTACGCACCTTCAGCTTTTTTTTGTTATAAAAAAATATTTTTTTATTCCAATATTCCATTTGGACGTAAGTGGACTGCGAAGTGAACTTCACAGGGTATTTCGCCATCTTAAGTGAGATTCCAATTCAAAGGGAACGAACATGTTCAGTTCGAAGGGCACTGCAAACGGCATAGGGAATAAGGGAACATCGATACATCACTTAACAGGAAGTCAGTGAAGTCCACTTCAACTGATATACCGTGTTCAGGGAGTAGGGAGCAGTGAACACTGCGTAGGGACCCTGTCGAATGGAACGCACCTTGATATTTCACACTGTGTGTTTTTGTGTGTGCGTTTTGTTTCAACAAAAGGAAATTCAACAGGTGCCAATACCAGCATTAGGCCATTATAGGACGTTATAAAATATACTGCGCCAGAATTGACTTTAGCCTATGGAAAACCAACCCGGAAAACACTTTTCTGTTGGAGATATCCAGCTTTATGAATGAATGAATGAGACATTTATATAGCGCTTTCATGTGTCTACTAGGCCTACACTCAAAGCGCTTTACAATCATATCAAATAATCTCTCCTCAACCACCATTAGTGGTTATTAAATCTGAGGAAATCATAGGATCCGGCCAAATGATTGGATACAGAATGATGCACTTATATGTATCCAGAACGTATTTACGGTGAAGAGGGAGACAGAGCGGTTACTGTTGCGAGTCCGAGTCTGTAATTCTTGTTGGTAGATTAGCACCTGTGTAGAATTTTGTTGAAAGCGTAGATACAAGTAAAAAGCTACTATTTTGTGTTGATCCATGGCAGTTCGACTTTACAGGTGCATTTCTTTACACACACACGGGCGCGCTCTGATCAGTGGACGTTTAATAGCTATTATCGTAATGTTTGACTTTATTTTCGAAATGTTTCGGCTTTAATCTAGAAATGTTTCGACTTTAATCTCGAACTCTTTCGACTTTAATTTAGAATAAATTTTAAATTTTTAGATTTTTTTTCTACGTAAAAAAATTGCATTTGCCAGCAGACTAAACATCATGAGTAGGCTAATATAACTGAACGTCAATGTTGTAGGCTACTTCTAGTTCGGTAACTACTACTGAATTGCGCAACCCTAATAAATGTGACACTCACATCGATTCCTTCCACACCCTTCATTTAATGAGTAAAACCGAGATACATTCCTGTGCCCTGCCAATAAGATTTGTCAACAAATTCACTTTAACATAAGAATAGATGTTGCATGCGCAGCGCCTTTTCAATGGACCGAATTAGACGTGAAATTGTTGAATGACTATGCAGAACGGCATCAAAACACGTTTTAGCTGAGACGTGGCTTGATGCATAGATATAAAGTATCATTCACGTCCTTACCGCGATCTTCCTTGAGAGTCTGGTTAAAATCAACTCCAGTGAATGACAGACACGGAGTGTTCACGGAAGCGCGGTAGAGCACGAGAGCTCAGCAAAAACCTCTTCAGTCGCGCGCGTGTAGTGTTCACTAACAAAGTAGCCTATTCCCCTAGACCCCGCCCCGTACTCATGTTTAGACATGTGTTGTGTAAAGTTCACGAAACTCTTCCTTATTGTATGATCTCTCTCACATAGAAAACCATAACAAACTTAAAAGAAAACAATCGTGTTTGCATTCAGCACGGAATGTGTTGACACCTGCGGTTTATCGCTTATTTTGCTGTCCGACAGGTGGCGCAATAAGTCTTTGAAAGCATTGGATAGCGCTTCAACTCAGTCAGGACTCAGGAGTCAACAAAGCTTTGTTAGCATAATTGTTAACATTCACAGTAGTACCAAAGCACGTACAGTAGCCTACAGAAATATGTATTTTAATACATTTTAGGTAGGTAAAAATATTTTAAAATAATACAATAAAATAGTTGAGACAATTCATTTAGGTACTGTAATAAATCACTAATTGGATAAATAAATCACTCATTAAAGTAATATTTTTTATATATATACTATATTCAGCATCAATGCACACAATAAAACCAAATGACAGAAAAAAAAACATGTTATTAAAAATTAACAAAATGTAATTTTTAATATGATTATCATTTAAAAAATACTCAGAAGTACAGACAACACGTGATCAAACCAATTGTAATTTACTACCCGTCGAGTTTTGAAAAAGATGTTTATTGTTTTAACTTTTATGCAGATCGTGAGGTCACGTCTAATATTTTGATTGGCTTATCAAGCTGTCAATCATGCACCGCGGGTTCCCGCCCACACACAGTTCACGCTCTGACTGTGGCAGGGTCGGTTGAAGCGGATGGGGTCAGAGGCGGGCTACACGTTGACAGCTGGAGCATTGAGCACAAGGAAACATCGCAGTCAAGCTGGCAGACGCGTTTATCCTCAGCGCAAGTCATGTTCGCGAAAGGTAAAGGGACCGCGGTTCCATCGGACGGGCAAGCTCGGGAAAAGTAAGCGCTGCTCTCTCTCTCTTTCTCTCTGTCTCTCTCTGTGTCTTTTACACGCTCAGCTGATGTTGTGTTATGTCATTATGTCTTCTAATATAAGTGTCTGGTTCAAGATAGTTCAGTAATGTTATAGTTAAAACTGAAAAATGTTTCGTTTTAATACCTTTATTTATTTGCTATAAATGTACGTGTTTTGTTTGTTTGTTTGTTTTTTGTATTATTAGAGGATAATATTTATTTCACAAGATGCAAGTTTGCAACGCCCATGGTGGTATCAATTATTGTTTTGGAAATACAGTAGCCCATACTAGACTAGGTGGAAGAAAACTGCATTGATGATTATCTTGGACAAGAATACGGCTGTGTTATTAATAAAACAGACACTTTGATTGGATTGCATCAGTTTTTATTGTGAGGCATCTGTTTTACTGTACAGGTTGGCATTATACGTCTATGAATATTTGCTACACGTGGGAGCTCAGAAATCCGCACAGACGTTTTTATCAGAGGTGTGTATCTGCATATGCATATTACTTCAGTGCATGATCATGTGCATTGACCAATCTCGTTATGTGTGTGTGTGTTAAAGGCATCTGCTGTCTGTTTTTATTATGTTTAGATAAGATGGGAGAAGAACATAACCCTTGGAGAACCTCCAGGCTTTCTGCACTCTTGGTGGTGGTGTGTATTAACTCTATTCAGTTGTTGTTGCCAGTGCTGTGCCAGTGATATTCAATGATATCTGGCTTTGACTTGGTTTGGGGAATATATTAAAATAATCTGAAGGGAAATCAAGAATTACTTTTCTAATGATTTAGGCTAACTGAAAATATTTGTGTTCAAGCATAAAAAGTAAGTTAATCCCAACAGATAGTCCATAGTCTTAATACTGCCTTATCAATGTTATGATCAGTAAGTGTAACCGTTGTGACACTGCAATATCTTCTCATTCCAAACAATGCTGTCACTACGCAGTGTGTTTTGGGACCTGTACTGTGCAGCACCTGAGAGAAGGGACACATGTGATCACTCCAGTGAAGCGAAGGCCTTCCATGACTATGTAAGTGATGCGTGTTTAATTCACCCCTCACTAGCGTGACAGAAGAGATCTGCTGTTTCACAATGAGATAAAACCACTGAAATGTTACTCTGTGGTGTGAAGCCGAATATTGATTGCAAATATGAGACTGCGACTTATTGTTTTAGTTCCAGGTCAGCTTTGTTTATCCTCATTCCATTAAATGTTAAATTGGTATTGAGTATCCTGTTTTCAGATTTGCGCACTTGATTTGAATTGCACATTTAGAGCATGACTGTGTCCAGTTTGTGTGAGCTTGTCAACAGGAAAGCATTTCCTTCACATTAAATGCATATTCTTGGAAATTATGGGATCGGTATACTGTTGAATGAATATGGCTTGAATGTCAGAATATTGATAGTATTATATAACAGTGTACATTGAGGGATTGTGTGTACATGCTACCAGTACTCACTGCCCTTGAATGGGAACATAAAAGTGCTTATGAAGCACATGCAAAATTAGACTTTCACCATGTTGGAACAAGGAATGATGTGAGTTATACGATCTATAAGATGTTATTGGGCTAAATAACCATCCGTGACCCTGACAAAGGCGTTTTGTTAATCGGTTGGTTTGTATTTCAGTGGTGTCGTGCACAGTGGATAGCCGCACTCGCCATGAAATGTCATTGATCCAAAAACCTGCACATACTTATAAAATTAACATTAAATATGTCCTCCTAATTGTCCTGATGCAGTTTCTCATTCAGACAAATTGTTTGTTGCATCACTCTTGGTTACTGAAGGTGAACTAGAGTCCACAAAATGTGTCTACTACACCTGGCCTCTTAATTATAAAGCTGGACATTTGCCTCTTCAACTTGTGATGTTTGATGGAATGTAGACATTTAATGCTCTTTGTTTAGGTAATTGACTTGTCAATGTCCACCGCCATTCAGGATCTTTTAGAGTACTTTGATGCATTGACCACAATGGCTTTGGGTTAGTACTTGTACGTAATAATGAATGGGAAAAACTTCTGTTATTTGAAACAGAAACCAGTCTTACACAAATCTGCCCAAATCCTAGAGTTTTATAATGCTGTAGATGTTCTTAGGCTGGATTAAGTTGAGTAAGCTGTGAGGATTTATTTTGTAGTTGGGGAGCTTTGGCCCTTTCCACAACAGACACTCTAGCAGGTTGCATAACTTTAACTCTAGTGCAATGGCAATAGAATTACAATTCAAAGTAGGGAACTCTTAAAGGGACACTCCACCCATTTGCATTAAGATTTCCATTGTTAGAAACCCAGTCATACCATTGAATGGTCGTGCAACACTCTCCCATTTTCCCCTGAGATGAGAGAAATCTGCTATTTACTTTTTTCACTTCCTCCTACAATGATGCAAAAATCGTCATTTTACGTCATTGTAGGAGGAAGTGTAAGGGGGGGGGGGGGTCCTGTAAAAACTACAAGCACTCAATATCACCCTTTCAAACCCGCCCATAGGGGGTTGGGCCTAATGCGCTAAGGCCGTGTGTCCACCAAAGCGTTTTTCCACGCGCCTGGCGTATGTTTTCAATTGTTTTCAATGGGAGCGCCGCGCTTTTTAAACGCCATGAGCGTACCAAGGCGCTGAGTGGTTTTTTTTCACGCTGAAGCGCCGAGCGGCCGCCGTTTTTACTGGTCGCTGGGAGTTGAAAAATGTTCAACTTTGGATAAAACACAGCTCTCATCACTGTCACTTTTTACCCAGCCGTCCAATCACAGTGGAGGAGGGGCGGGACTTCTGTATCATAGCAACGAAACATCTCAACGGAAAAAACGCTGCGCTGCCAAAACGCTCTCAAGCGCCCAATGCACGGCGTCTTCAGCAGAGCGTCTAGCGTTTTCAGCTGGCTAAAAACGCTTTGGTGGACACACAGCCTAACAGACCTATCACAGATCAGTGCCAGTGCGTTTGATTTCACTGGCAGAAACTTTTTGAAAATATGGACGAAGGTACTGAATACGCAGACGGATGCATTATGGATAGGGTTGGGTACTGAAACGTGGTGCCAATATGGAACCGGTTCCACTTCCAACGTAAACGGTAATAACCAGAACGAATAAGAATGAAAATTGAGTCTCTGTGTCATGAGGCGCACACACGCAAACTATCTCGCTCTCTCCCTCTCCCTTGCACTATACGGTTTGGAGCACAGTCTGATCTGTCTTGCATTTGCGCTCTTGTTCACTCGCCCTAGATTCGGGGAGATTTTAACTAATTTGCGGGCATCAGGGTGCCATTATCAATATGCGGGAGACTCCCGTAACGTCTGATAGCGAGTCGATTAATGAAGTTTGGCGATTGTCTGAAGCCCATATAGAATCACACCAATCCATTGGCTGATGGCGCGGGCGCCGCCTTGACCCTCTTACGTCGTCATATTATATTAGCGTGCATTATCTGATTTCACTGTGTGAAATGATTTCCAGGCGGTAGCGTAGAGTGGAGCTCAACTCTAGTCTACATTGATGGGCGGAGTAGTGGGAGTGGCCTGTGGAGCTGAGCATTGCAATGCACTATGGGGATTGTTGTCTACAATTCACAAGCACTAAAAAGTCATTTTCTGCCTATTATCGGCCAAGAAAGACCCAAATTAGAAATTTATGATACTATTCTACTACATATATGACCCACTTTCAATACATATTCATGTCTCCACCGGTGGAATTACCCCTTAAAAATACTAGTTTGGTTCAAAAGTTTGGTAAGTAATTTATTTTGAAAGAAATGAAGACATTTGTTAAGCAAGGATGCATTAACTTGATCAAAAGTCACGGTAAATAGGCACATTTTTTTAATGTTAATGAAAGATTTCCATTTCAAATAAATGCTGTTTTCTGAACTTTCTAATCATCAAAAAATACTGGAAAAAATGATCACAGTTTTGACATCACAACTGTTTTTGACATTGATGATAATAATACATGTAACAAAAATCATGTGACACTACACACTGTCTGGAATTATAATGCTAAAATATATCCAAATAGAAAACAGTCATTTAAAATTGCATATTACTGTTTTCACTGTATTTTTGATTAAATACATGCAGCCTTGTTTTGAATAATAGACTTCTTCAAAAACATTCAAAAAATCTTACCCATATTAGCCTTTGAACAGTAGTTTACCTCAGCATGTATTTAAGTGTTCATGTTAGTTTTACATGGTTGTTGTTTTTTTCAAGATATGCAGTATAATGTGGAAGGTCTTTATCCGTCATTGTGCCATTAAATTATGGCTGGCAGTTCTCATGGGATTACCTGTCCCTTTACAGCCTGAAATGGTGGTCGGTTGTGGTGGGATGGGGGAGGGGAGCTTACAAGATCTGATAATGGTGAGGTCTCCTCTAGCTTTTTAGCTTTTTAACCCTGACACAGCAGGAAAATGTGTCGCACCCGCCCCACCTCCCTTCAGGGAAAAAAAATAACTAGACTCAAACCATTCTGAGAAGAAGTATATGATTCAGTCATTTGATTTGGATGGCTATTAAATACTGGTATAAGTTGCTTTGTCACACCTGACCGATTTTTTGAGTGAGCAAGCTAAATGTTGGTTTGAGCAACAGCTGAATGCAAATGAGTTTGTTGGAAATCATTTATTTGACTGTCAAATCTTCTTACTGCTCAATTTTCCTGCACATTTGAAGGTGGCGTGGTTATCAGCATAGTTGGCCATTGAATGTGTGACCCTCCAGTCCCCTGTGTATTCTGATATTAACATGGAGTGATTGCTTTGATCAATCAAAGGTTGACAGAATCCAATGCAAGGTCACACTTATGATCTCAGTCCTTGTGTCTCCTCCCGAGGCTCTCGTCAGCCATGTACACAAACACATGATGGGGTCATTCCATTGAATTCTATTGTTTTTATACTGAGTTAATAATGATATTTACCCTGAATCAATACATTATCTGTAAATGTAACCCTCACTTGACCTTTTTCTAGGGGTGCTCAATAAATCGGTGACTCTCAATAGTGAGAACAAATTAAGAGTTAGTTCCTACGAATTTGTATTAAAATAAATTAGGTGAAGGTCACAAGTGAACTAAATGATGGAAACCTTTAAAACGTTCAAAGGATCATGTGACACTGAAGTCTGCTGAAAATTCAGCTTTGCCATCACAGGAACAAATGATATATTCATTCAGGGTCATTAAAAAATGTCCTTCCAAAGATTTATTTGATAATTTGATAGGACAATGTACCTGCTGTTCTGATACCACTGATTGCCATCTGGTTTAAAATGCTCCCGTTAGTGTTTGTGTAAGTGCTCTGTGAAGAGCATCAAAGGTTTCTTACGTGTTTTTGCAGCGTGTTTTTTAGCCAATCACAGACATATCTGTTGAGTGCCTGAACTCAATGACCAATCAGATGTTTAAAATAGTCAAAATCACTCAAAATGGCAGAGTTTTTGTTAAGCGCGAGTTCTGCATGCTTGCGACTCCTTTCGTTATAACCAACAAAATATAAACCTGATGTCAATAAGAGGTTCATCGCACAGCGTTGGATGGCTTCATTGATTATAACTGGAGTAAGTTATTGACAGCTTCAGTGATTATAATGGCAGCGATCTTTGCTCGATTTCTGTACATAGTATATATTTTTCATGCTGCTACTACACTTTGCAAAGTTTCTGGATTGACAACTGTATTTTAATGCACGATTGAATCCGATCGACAGTAGCCGCGTTTCCATTCAAATTACGAAAATTGAAATTGCGAATTGAAAATACTGCCAATGTAATGGAAATACGCCCAACAGGTCAATTTAGCAAAAACTCCCATTTATCGCAAAAAAGTTTTTACGCTCACATGAGGTGGTTTTTCAGGCAATTTGAAAAATAAATATTTCGCAGAACTGCAATGGAAACAGTTTTTGCGCATTTACAGTTCACTTGACGTAGATGACCTGGTGTGTTTGGACAGAATATGAGACAGAGTTTTTTAGTAAATTCATAAAAGACAAAAGAATTACAGGAATACTGGATTCT